GAGGATGCAAAATGGTACAGCTGCTATGAAAAGCATTGCCACACGTTAGGGTTGGTGTGATGCTGCCAGACCCAGAGAAAGCTGTAGTAGTCATCAGAAAGGCACAGGGCAGAGGGCAGACTGCAGATCTGCAGACACTCTAGACAAGGCACACCATCCTTCAGCACCTCAGTCCACCACCTGGGTGCACATGCTTTGCTGTCTCAAGGGGGATGGTATGAAGCCTGGAAGGGGAATCGACATGGAACGCTGTGTGCAGCAGGGGGTCAGCACTCTGTAATAAAGGTACAATTACTGTGAACTCTAAATCTGCGGCTTACTTGTCAGGATCCCATTTAAATACCACCTCTTACCATGCCCTGATGCTCTTACGAGAACTGAGATCCCTCAGACCCAGCACTAACGCCTAGATATTGTCACGTGCTACCGCGTGTCCTCCTGCTTCCTTCCCCCAGCCATGTGCACCTGGGCTGTTTCATGCAATGAGCTCATCAGCTGTCACTAGCAAGTTGAAGCTGGCTCTAGTCAGGCCAGTGTGTGGATGTCTGACCTCTGAGAAAATACCCAACAGCTGTCTAGGAAAAGATGCTGCTGACTTCCATCAGTCTACCCAGCCAAAGCCCATCCTAATGGTTGCTTTTCATATAGTGATAGAGACTGAGGTGTCAAATGAGATAGATAGAGAAGGAACTGGACTGTAGGTCTAACTGCCTCCATGAACTACTGCCTCTTTAGCCATGAGACTAGAAAAAATGGATGGTGCCTGGCTGCCATTACTGAATGTTTTAATCAAGGAATCAATAGATGAATCTTGATCAAAAGAGGAAAAAATTTCAACTTCTTATAGAATCCAGACTTTCTGGACCCATTGAGACTGCAGGAACCCCCAAATCTATTGTTCTGAAAAAATCTTCAAAACCATGAACCAAAATTATCCCCTAAAGTCATCTTTAAACTAAGCAACTGTTTAGCTAAATTAGTAAAGAATGTTCGACAACAGCATTGTGCTCTTTTAAAGGATTATCTCTATGAGATCAAATGGTCAACAGTAACTTTAAAGCATAGATGAGAAGTTTAGGGGTTAGTGAGTCTAAGTCAATAGGGGTGAAACGATATCGTAGAGACAGCGAGAATGGTGTCACAATGTGCAGACTGTAACCAATCTTACTGGATTGTACATGTAGAAACTGATGAAGGGGCGCATGTTCTGCTTTGTATATTCTCACCAAAACTATAATTTAACATTATATACTCTAAAATTACTTTTTTAGTCTTCCGTGAGCTGTAGAATAGTAGAATATTAAGTATCTCTTTCCCTCCTATTAAATGTTCATCTTGAAGATGTTTTTTAAATGTGTAATGGGATTCCTTAAGTGTGTAAATTTTTGCACACAAACAAATTGAGTCCTACTGAAAGGAATGTTGCCTGAGTAAGGCCTGTGGAATTAGACTTTGGGGGTCAGCTTCCTGCCCGTGGAATGCAATGGGAAAGTTCCCACAATCAGAGGGGGCCTCTCTCAGGGCATTCTGTGAGGGAAGCATCTGCAGAGGTTTTATGCAGACAGTGTCCTGTCTCGAGATACTATCAGCATCTCCAACTGCCAAAGGCCACTGTGCCCCTCAACAGGTCCCAATCAAATTCTATAAAACGTATCTGCAGCATAAGCAAGGGTGTGTGTGTGTGTGTGTGTGTGTGTGTGTGTGTACAGCAAGGCAGCATTAGACCTCCCACTGTGGAGGAGGAAATCCAAACTCCAAGTATTTAAGTTTACGATAGTTCCATCATGAGGACGTTTACAGAGAGTAAAGTCCATCATGCTTTGAAACTTCTTCAGCAAAGTTGTTTTCAATCAATTTCATGAGGTTCAGGGAACTTCCACCATAATCTGTCACAGCAGCAAATGAAGATGAATTCATCCACTCACCCGTTCAACAACTATTTTAAGGATGCATACAAAGTGCCAGGACCCTCTAAACAGTGGAGATGTAGCAGTGAACAAGAGAACCAACATCCAACATTCTGCTGCTTCACGGAACTTTGAATGTATGCCTCAGTTCAGATTTCAATACCTAATCAAGGCTTGATATCCAGAATATATAAAGAACTCTTACAGCTTAACAAAAAAAAGACAAACAGCTCAATTAAAAAATGGGCAAGTCACCGAACAGGATATACAAATGGCCAATAAGCATATGAAAAGATGCTCAGTGTCAATAGTCATTGGTGAAATACAAATCAAAACTGTAGTGAGATACAACTTCACACATGTGAAGCTCCAAACCTGTCCTTTTCACTTACCACTGTCTACCAGCACCAAGAGCAGAGCTTGGAACATAGTTGGTGTTCCATATGCTTATTGAATCAATACATATGAACAGGGATTTGACCCTGAACTCTTTGAAAGCCTGTGAAACTCTTTGGAGACAAGCAAAACTTAATCTATTCATTCATTCCCCCCAATCTGATGAGTGGGGATAGAAAGATGAATACGATGTGGCCTCAGCCCTCAGGAAGCTCAGTCTAACAGAGAAATAGCAAAAGCCATAGCATGGTGGCATAGAAGGACTGGAGGATTAGGTAACTGCAAGTATTCTGGTGTGACTGGAGCAAGTGGGAGGACAGCTGGAGACTTAGTTGGATAGGTAGGCAAGGTTAGGTGTAAAGGACTAGATTTTTATCCTGACAGTGATGTTGGTGGGGAGGGAGCAATGATAGAATGTAGGTAGAGGAGTAATACAGTTTAAATTTGTGATTTGGCAAGATGGTTAGGAAGCTGGTTAGGAAGCTAATGCAATGGTCCAGGTGAGAACTAATGAGACCTTCATTTCGGTAGTGACACTGGGGTAGGAGAGGAGGTGACAATTTCATGAGCCATTTGAAAGTAGAATGGGCAGGAGCCTGTGAGGGACTATATGAGGAGAAAATGTCTATTTCCCCTCTAGGCTAAAGGATACTTGGTGACAGGGACTATGGTCTACAAGAAGTGATTGATAAGTACTTGATGGATGAATGGAGAAGGGAGAAGGATGAGGAGGCAAACTCTTTGAAGATTAATGGTTAAGTGTGTGGAGTCAACTTAAAAAGAAAACAAACAACGAAAAAAAACCTGCTGTCAAGTCAATTCTTACAATCACTGCATATGTTATACGGTAGAACTGCACCATACGGCTTTCTTGGCTGTAATCTTTATAGAAGCAGGTGGCCAGGCCTTTCCTCCACAGCACTGCTGGATGGGTTCAGATTGCCAACCTTTAGGTTAGCAGCTGATCGCAAACCACCTGGGTTAAAAATCACAGCTCCACCACTTGCAGGCCGTGTGACTGGTGGCAAGAGGCCTAATCTCTAGACCATGCCTCAATTTCCTCATTTGTGAAAAGGACACCAGCTCCAGGGGAAGGCTTTCTCTCTGTTGGCTCTGGGGGAAGGTCCTTGTCATCAATCTTCCCCAGGTCTAAGAGCTTCTCAGCCACAGAGCCCGAGTCCAAAAGATGCACTCTGCTCCTGGCTCTTCTAGCTTGGTGGTTATGAGGTCCCTATCTCTCTGCTTGCTTCTCTCTCCTTTTATCTCTTGAAAGATGAAAGCTGATGCAGGCCACACCCCAGGGAAACTCCCCTTACATTGGATTAGGGATGTGACCTGAGTAAGGGTGTTGCATTCCACCCTGATCCTCTTTAACATAACCTAATCTTGCCTCATTAACCACAGACAGAGTTTAGGATTTACAATACATAGGAAAATCACATCAGATCACAAAAATGGAGGACAACCACACAATACTGGGAATCATGGCCTAGCCAAGTTGACATGTATTTTGGGGGGACACAGTTCAGTCCGTGACAGATGGTGAGTGAGCTCCTTGAGAGTGGGAACTTTCTCTTACTCATCTTCCTATCTCCTCCAGCCCCTAACCCTGCCTGTAGTAGGGACTCAATACATCTTTATTGAATTGAAACAAAGAGCCCACAAGATGAACTCCTTATCCATGAAATGGGGATGTTGATGCCACCTACTTCCTAGATCGGTGTGAGTGCTTAGCATGTAACAGGTGCTCAACAAATGATCACATCATCACTTCCAGAAAGTTTCACTTGCTCTTGGCCCAACATAATACTAAGCCTTCTGTCTCCTTTTAATGAAGTTAAAGAATAAGGGCATAACTTTAAAATTCTTGGAAAATTACCCCTTTGGAACCAGTAAGTAGGAAACCACTGTTCTGGCCCACTGCGGAATTCCTTTACAAATCCCAAAGAGTTTTCTCTCTGGAGGAATAACTTGAATGCTTTGGGTCTTCTCTTTTTGGTCTTTGAAGAACAGTGTTAAGCTTCTGATCTCGGGGATTCTGGGAAATGAGGGGACAGGCTCCAGCTCCATCAATTCCCTTTTTGTCCCCATACCAGCTCCCTGCTCAAGAGGCTGGAAATAGAGCCCCAGATGGGGGAGCGGGAGGTGGCCAGTTTGGACTGGTCGTTCCAAAAGTAGTGAAGCAGGCAGTTGTCAAAGTCCTTGAGTCGTATTTTTATTTTTAAAATCTACTTTGAAGAATTTTATGAGTCCCAAAGGAGTCCTTTCATGTCTTTTTTTTTTTTTTTCTTTAGAATTTCCTCTAAGACCCATTAAGGAGATCCAGCCTAGTCCAGATTTAGCATTTTAATGGGCTTTTGTTTCTGCCTTAATTTTTTTCCCATTTTTAATTTCTCCTCTGATTTTTAATTAGCTATCTCTGGGATCACAACGTTTGCAGACTCGACAGCAAGTGTTTCTGGAAACTTTTAATTTGTGTGTGAGTTTTTTATGATAACACCAAGTAATGATGGGTGTGTGCCTGCCTGACTGAAGACGTCAGAGAAGGCTCGTCCCATAGGACGAATTCTTGTGCCAGCCGAGTGAGTTCGCCATGGATGAACCATTTAGGGACACTGGATGTCTTTTAGAAAACCGCAACCATCCTCAGTTTGAGAGTTTCTTTTTAACATCATCTTGGTGCTTTTCTTTCCCCAGGAACCTCGGACAAGTCTAATCTGGAGCTGATCACTCTGACATGTACCTGCGTGGCAGCAACGCTCTTCTGGCTCCTGTTAACTCTCTTTATCCGAAAACTGAAAAGGGTAAAAACAAACCAGATTAACTTCCATGCTCCTTTTTACGTGATTCTCTAAAATGCTTTATCTGATGCCTAGGACAGGCGCTAAACAAACACTAGACTCTCTTCGTCCCTTCGTCTCATTCTTACCTCTAAATTGAGAAACAATGAACAGATGAGTATACCTCAGAGACAGAGGAGACATTTTTGATATAAAAAATAGACACAGTAAAGCCTGTGAAAGCCAGAACCTGTGTAAGGCGGAAACCTGTCAGAGAAGGAAAATGCAAATATTTTCCACTGAAATGAGCAATAGCATCCTGTCAAAGGCGGAAAACTTTCGAGATCCGGAAACACAAGGCAGTCCTGTTGAGTTCCGGCTCTCACAGGTTTCCCTATAATAGAGTCTTTAAATTAAGTTCAGCACGGGGCCTGCAAAGCCTCCTTCTTCTTATAACCTCACTCTCCTCTAAGAAATTAAAAAGAAAAAGCAAAATAAAGACCTACGTCTGCTTTGTCTCTCATAATGTCATGAAACACAAAGAAACGCAGAGCTGTTCCGGACTCCTCTCCCTATCTCTTCCAGCCTCTAACCTTGCCAGTAGTAGGGACTCAATACACCTTTATTGAATTGAAACAAAGAGCCCACAAGATGAAGTCCTAACCCATGAAATGGGGATATTGATGCCACCTACTTCCTAGATGGGTATGAGTGCTTAGCACATAACAAGTGCTCAACAAATTATCACTTCATCATGTCTAAGGCTAACACTAAGCCTTCTGGGTAAATGAACAGAGAAATTATATTTTGCTGTTCCATTCTAAGTTCCATGATAAATTTCAGTTCTTTAGAGCATGAGGTCGAGGTTGGAATTCAGGACATCGGGTTTCTATAATTCGGCCTGCAGCACAACTTGCTTCTCTGGAAGTCAGTGGGAAATGAGCTAATATTCCTTCTCCCACCCTTTCTTCATTACTTCATTCACCTTCAGGTATTTACTTGCATGCCTGGGCCCTGTTGGAGGCCCTCTGGTGACAGTGGAGGCCAAACCCTGGAGTGTGGAGTCACGCAGATAAATGTAAAGCGGCAACTCCGAGTTAGCTGACTAAAAAACCTGTTATAGGGATGGCCCGGCAAAGAAGAGAGGGAGAAATGTTGTAGGCAAAGGGAATGGGGTGTGTGAGGCTGAGGCAGGGAAGGGGAGCACAGTGAGACGAGAGATGGACAGAAGATCAGTTTGGCTGCAGTGAGAGAACAAGGGGAACAAGGCATGAGGTGCGGCCGCCAAGAGAAGGAGCCTGACCTGGCAGGGCCTTGTAGGAATTGAGTCTTCATTCAGCCAGCGTTTGGAGGAGGGGCCGTCAAGCAAAAGTGGGGAATGGTATGTGTAAAAGAATCAAATTTGTGTCTTGAAAGATTATTTTAGCTGCTGTGAGGACAATGGCTCAGAGGGGTCCAGAGTGACTAGTGGGGCGCCAGGTAGGTTTGACAGCAGTCCAAGGAAGAAATGGTGGTAGCTTAGACTAAATGACCAGCCCATTAACCAAACCTGTTGCCATCAAGTCGATTCCGACTCACAGAGACCTATAGGACGATGTAGAACTGCCCCATAGGGTTTCCAAGGCTGTAATCTTTACAGAAGCAGACTGCCACATCTTTCTCCAGGGGAGTGACTGCCGGCCTTTCGGTTAGCAGCTGAGAGCTTAACCACTGTGCCAGCCGGGTTAATGATTAAATGACTAAAGTCAACAGATATTTCAGAGATAACATCGACAGGACTTGAGAAATGTCAAGGAGGCCTCCTTGATTTCTAGAGATTAGCCCATATTAATGTGCTAATACCGTCCCATGGTAAGCTCTTTATGTAGTATATCAGTTAATCCTTCCAAAAACCCAAAGAGGTAGAAAACCAGTCGCTGGCAAGTCGATTGTGACTCATGGGGACTCTGTGTGTATGTGTCAGAGGAGAACTGCGTCCCAGAGGGTTCTCAGTGGCTGATCTTTAGGCCTTTTTTCCGAGGCGCCTCTGGGTGGACTTAAACTGCTAACCTTTCAGTTAGCAGCACAGTGTGTTAACCATTTGCATTACCCACAGACTCTGGGTAGATTCTGTTCTTATTCCCATTTTATAGAGAGGGAAACAGAGGCTCAGAGAGGCAAAATAACTTGTCCAAGCCACAGAGCTAGTTAGAGATAGAGCTGATTTTTGAACACAGGCTGACTGACCTTAGACTTGATGTTCAAACCCAATAAGGCACACTTTATAGTGTTGCTATAAGAGGCAAGGCTAGCAGTCATCATCTGTGGGAAATGTGTAGCATCAGGCTTTTGCCGGCTGGAGTGATTGGTTTTGAGCCAAGAAAATTAAGGCCATGGCTGTAGAAAGAAACAAAGGTCAATCAAACAAGAGCGTTTTTAAAGGGGAGATCATCATATAGGGAACCATATCCAGTAAGTGCAAAACCTGCCAAATCTGTATGGAAGGTGCAAAGGCTGTGAGAGTTCAAAGGAGGAAAGGGGGAGAGAAAGGATGCTTGAGACAGACTTTGAAGGGTATGGCTGGAGGGAAGCAAGCAGAAAAGCATAGCCTCCCCAGCCCCCACCCCCACCCCCCGCCCAGCTTCCCATACCCCAGATTAGGAACTATTCTCGTCATCTTGCGTATAGGTGTATACCAAAACCAAAAAAAAAAAAACAAACCTACTGCTGTTGAGTCGATTACGACCCATAGCAACCCTCTAGGACAGAGTAGAACTGTCCCCACAGGGTTTCCAAGGCTGTAATCTCTGCAGAAGCAGACTGCCACATCTTTCTCCTGCATAGTAGCTGGTGGGTTCTAACTGCTGACCTTTCAGTTAGCAGCCGTTCGTTTCAATCACTGAGCTACCAGGGCTCCTTTTGGAAATAAAATGGGAAGGCAATTTGAGACTAAACTCACAAGGTCCTTTCCACTTGTAAAAATCTGTGAAATTCTGAGGTCGATAAGAAAGGATGAAAGCAAGGGATAATACAATGCTAGAATGCCTATAAACCTTGACAAGGGATTGGTTATGGGAGGCAAGAGGAGCAGGGCATCAAAAAATCTATCCTTGTGGTTTCTCTAATAACGGTGAAAATTCCTCTTTGATAAAGACTGTGTTTTCTCTTTTATCCCCACTTTGCACAGGCCAGTGTTACAATCAGAGCTAACATTTATTGATGCTTACTATATACCCCAGGCCCCATTCTGACAGCTGTAAATACATTATTTCACTTAATATTCACAGCAACCCTGTGAGATAAGCGCTGTCTATTATCACTATTCTATAGATAAGGAAACGAGGTTTAGAGGGCTTAAGTTACTCACCCAGGGTTACGCAGCTGGGCAGATGTTGAGCTGTGACTCAAATCCAGTCATCCTGCCTGGGCTCTTGAACACTTAGCTGCGCAGCCTCCAGGCCGAGCATCTAGTAGCTGCTCAATGTTAGTGTCAATTGAAAGAATAAATATTTATTGACTAAGATTCTACTATCATACTCTCCTCAAAGCCCTCACTTAAGGTTTCATGGGTGTTCACTCATTTGAGGTAAACCATAAAGTTCCAGAGGCACTACGTGGGGAGACTGTCTTCCGTTGTACACCACCCCCCGCCACCGCCTCCACCAACGCTGCCAGCTTTCCACATACCCTGCAGAAAACCAAGATGTCCCTTGCTAGGCTTCAGCTATCCCAGGCTCTTTGAGGACTAGAGATTGTTTCACGTGGCCATTGAAGAGTTTAGTCATAAAACCGACTCCAGTAGCTTCTCTAACAAAGGCCCAGCACCCTGTTACAGGAATTCGTGTTCCTATACAGCCTTACAGATTCACACGAGCGTTTGACAGACTGGGATCTTCCAGTCTCACACCAACGCCAAATGTGGTTCGTGACAGACGTGCTCCGTATCTTTCCCTGTTTCCACCCTCTGTGGAGGCCAGGCAAACCTTCCTGCCTGGAGCTGTTTGTCACACATTTTAGTGATAATTTTTGTGAGAAAGGGAATGATTTCAAGTGATGGATGAGGTGAAGTGTGACAGCCCAGACCAGGCTGAGTAAGGGCTGAAGAATGTGGGTGGATGTGAGATGGTGCTTATGGAAAGGTTGTCTTCTCAGCATGAACTCTGACCCTGCTTAGGGAAAGGCACTGCAAGGAAGAGTCCCAAAAGCCATTTAAATGAAGTTGACAGAACTTCTAGGCTAGAGCTAGCCAAATCCACTGTATACGGGCAAGCATGTTTCCTTTCTTTCCTGGCCAAAATTCTACCCAAAGAAATGCAGTCATCAACTGAATGTTTAATTAACAGGAAATACACCTGTTGATGTGACTCTAAGACACTAAATGTATATCCAGTTATCTGTGATCTGAAATAAAGGCTATTTTCTGGACTTGACTTGTATTACAAGATAAAGCAAGCAATTCAAGACAGATGCACGCCTTACTCATTTGCTTTTGCACCAATGGACAGACAAACTCTGAATGTGGCTACATTTGAGTCTTGTACCATATTTACTCTGTGGTCTTTGAAAGACTCAACTGCGATTTCTTACTGAAGGTGATCTTATTCTTATCTCACTGATGGGTTCTAGCATCTTTTCACATAGCTGCAGCAACCAAGTGGCCCTGGTGGTACAATGGTTAAGAGTTCGGCTGCTAACCAAAAGGTTGGCAGTTCAAATCCACCAGCCGTTCCTTGGAAACCCTTTAGAGTAGTGAGGTTGGGCTTACTGAATGACTTTAAACACTTGATACAAAATGTGCCTCACACTCTCCCCAGGATCCTGAGTCAACTTTGCCATGTCTGACCTTTCTTATGAATGTAGAAAAGCTACCATCCCTGGCAGTGGGGCCCCATCTGTTATGTATAATCCTGCTTGTACAGAATGGTCATGGAAAGTTATTTTTAGTGACTGTTTGGAATGATTTTGTAAAAGTGCTTTGCAGTTTTTTTAGAAAAAGGCTATCATGTGATAATTGTTTAAGAACAAGCATGGATAAGGATGTCACTGGAGAATTTGTATTTTACCTGAGATAGGATGGTAGGGCTAGTACATAGGAATGTGGGAATAGTACAGAGCTGTTTAATGGAAATTGCATGTTCAAGTTTGACACATATATACGTATATGGTGGGCATACTTTCTGTACCTGACCACATAGTTTCAACCAAATGACACAAAGCAGATGTTGCCAGTATTGTTTTAAAATGGATATCGGTGTTTTCAAAGTTTGTCCCTGTTGGTGACTTTAATATCTCTTTATTTCTTAGTCTTCTTCTGAAATAAAGACCGACTACTTATCAATTATAATGGATCCAGATGAAGTTCCCCTGGATGAACAGTGTGAACGGCTCCCTTACGATGCCAGCAAGTGGGAGTTTGCCCGAGAGAGACTTAAACTGGGTAATGTGTTTGTTCAACAGATTCATAAGCCTACACTGAGCACCTACTATGTGCAAATCACTGTGCTTTGAGGGAGGCTAAAGTAAACTAAATGTTAAACTAGTTTAAGTGCTTGGCTGCTAACTGAAAAGGTTGGCACCCACCAGCAGCTCCATGGAAGAAAAGATCTGGCAATGCGCTCGCATAAAGATTACAGCCTAGGAAACCCTAAGGAGCAGTTCTACTCTGTGCTGTAGGGTCACTGTGAGTCAGAACTGACTTGACAGCACACAACAACAGCAAAGTAAACTAGATCATGGGTTCGATCTCCCAGCTGCTCACAAACTAGCAAGGGAGATGAACATGTAGGTAAATGTTTCTAACAGAATGCTGACACAACAGTACAAGGGGACATTCACTCAGCGGTTACGGGGCACCTTCTCTGAGCAGACACAAGTGTAAGCCCTGGGGATACAAAGATGTTTGGGTCTCTTTTCTCAAAGGGCTCAGTTTGGTGAAAGAGATAGTAGATAAGGAAAGGGGAGGAAAAGGGATTAGTTCCAAACAGGAGGCTTACAAATCCAGGCACTCTTCTAGAATGAAATCAGCGAGGAGTTAGACGTCTGTGACCCAGAACATGATTTAAGATGGTGGAGCAGTGAGATCCTACATTTAATGAAAGAGTTAGTGCTGTTCAATGCTGTGGATCAAAAAATACCTCTGTACAGTCTGGTTGCCTTCATGAACAACTGCCTCCTCTGCCATGAGACCAGAAAAACTGGATGATGCCAAGCTACCATTACTGAATGTTTTGATCAAAGATTCTATAGGAGAATCCTGACCAAAAGGAGGGAAATAAGGAATAGAATTTCAGATTTTCATCTCAATGGAATCGAGACTTTCTGGAGCCACTGAGGCTGGATGAGCCCCTGACACGACTGTCCTGAGATAATTTTTAAACTTTAAACCTTAAACCAAAATTACCCCATCAGTCTTCCTTGAACCAAAAAAAAAAAATAGCTTACCTTAATTAGTAAAGTATGTCTGCTTTCGGCATTGAGCTCTTTCAAAGAATTGACAACAGCAACTCGAAGTTTGGATGGGAAGCCTAGGGGGCGGTGGGTTCAAGATAATAGTGGTAGAATAATGTGGAAAAGAATAGAGAGAATGGTAGCACAACCCGAGGAACGTAACCAACGTCAGTGAATTATACATGGAGAAATCGTTGAAATGGTCTATCTTTGGCTGTGTATACTTTCACCAAAATAATAATAATAAAAAACAAAAAATCCCCTCTGTACAAACACACAAATGACATACTCTGAGTTTCCCTGGGTATTCGAATGCCCAGACAAAGAAGAAAATCCCAGCGGGCCATTTAAGTTCCACTTTTGAAAATAAGGATTGTTGTTTTTTTCCAGGTAACGTAGATGCTATAAACACCAAGCAAATGTGCTTTCCCTTAGGTTTTACCCCAGTTCCTCCAGCTCAGACGTCACAATGCAGATTCATCTTCAGCCCCTGGTGCTACAAAACAATCGGAGCCTCAATTGCTCCTGCCCAAAATATTTGGACTGTGGCTTCTGAAAGTTTTCCACTCCCGAATGTGTATGCCAGAGTCATTAGTAGTTAGAACTAGGAAAACAGATTGTGCAGTCCGTGCTCCTGGCATTTGTTACTCTTGATGTGAAAAGCCTGTAACTCCAAATTCAACGTCATCCCCTTGTCCCCCGTCCGCTGTCTCCTGACACACACACAAACTACATTGGGTTGGAGGGTGTTGAGAGGGCAAAGAGGGAGGACTGGCTTTTCTTGTTTCTCTCTCGGGCCTTGAAATGATTTGGCTTACATAGCTTCCTACATCAGAAAGAACTGGCCCCAAGGGTATGTTCTGTTTGGCTTGTAGAAGAATATTGGAAATCAGTAAAAAGCTGGAGAGACAGGCAAAAGCCAGCATTGGCTGCTGACAGGGAAAAAAAGTCAACTAAATTTAGAGTAGTGAAGGGCAGGTGGCACACTGGATGAGTTCCTTCTGCAAGTTTAAATTGTATGGCAGCTCGCCCAGCCCCTCAGTGACCTTGGCGGGGAACGTGAAATCATTTTCCCACAACCATAAGCCATTCCCAGGCCACAATGCTTTCCAGAGTTATTAGTCACAATCAAACATGCTTCTCTCAGTATAGGACACATACGCTTTCCATCCCATCTCCTTATTCCTTGGCCTACTGTCATTATGATCCATATCACATCTAGAGAGATTGCCAACCCTTACACCAGAACTCTCCTGGGGCTCTGTGGGGTTAGAGAATTCCATTTTAGGAGGTTCTCCTTGTTGAAAATCTCTTATCATTCTTTTCCTTCTCGGAGTTGCAGACGCTATGATTTGGCCCGTGTCCACTTGAGGTCTTTGATGTCTCCCACTGCAGGGTGTAAATGCAAGGGCCGAGACATGCTCTTCTAACATGGGAGCAAGGAGGCCCAAGAATTTGTGTTTTTTTTTTAAACCAAGTAAGTGACAGAAAGTAATTTCAAATGATGTCTGGCAACTGAAAGTAGCCAAGATTATGCATGGATCGGTGGGGAGAAATGATGTAAGAATTACAATGGGATTGTAAATATAGAGAAATACACAGACCAAGCTGCATTTGATTTCAGCAATATCTACTTTCTTGGTTGCTGTTAGCAGCTCTGAGGAAGGAAGTCAGAATTTACAGTGACTGATAGGTGAATACAGTTGGAGTGTGGGTCAAAGGTGTTGCTACCAATGAAATTCCTGAAACCCAGGAACAAAAGAAGCCTGTTTTGCTAGTGATTCTTCCCTAACCCTGGGAGAGAATTCAGCTCCTATGAATATATCATAGAAGATGAGAGAAGCTCTGACATTGCATCTCTGTATTGAAAAACGTAATTTAAAGTCAGAATTACCTAATTTGGGAAATAATCAAGGGAGTCTGGAATTTGGCAAGTGGATGGTGCTTAGGCTGGTGCTGTGTCTTGGAAAACCAGCTATGCACTCCCCCCAGAGTGTCCCAGGGACCCTGGCCAGTCAAGGACATTCTTGGAGGAGATTCCAATATCCCTGCATTGTATGACAATGACCTAAACCATTCTGGAGCTAGTAGCTGGCATTAGAGGCAATACCGAAGAGGATTTTCAGGGAAAAGAAGAATCAGGTGAGGTCAAGTCCAGTGTGACTGGGCTCCCCTAAAACTGGAACTGTGGGTCTGCTGAAGGATTCCAACAGTATCAGATGATTAAAGAGCCCACAGTAGCTTCATTGTGTTTAATGGGGCCGTAGTCGGCTTCCAAGAGAGTAAGTGCAAAGACTGAAGGAAGCCAAGTGGGAACCGGTTTGTTCACACTGATAGAAGCTAAGTTCCCCCAACACTTGTTAAAACAGAGTGTGTTGTGATGGCTGAGAAGGGAATGCATGCGTGGGCGCTGACGTTGTGGATTGGAGAAGAACCCTGCCTGCCCCAAACAAGCAAGAGTCTTTGGAGTGTGTGGAGAGGGATCCCAAGATAGAGATTATTGTGATATTTCTCAGGCTTAGGACAACTTTGTGCTAGATGGAAGAAGGCACTGCAGAAGAAAAACATTGTTCCTTTACCTTAAAAAAAGCAAGGAATAAACCTCCAACCAAAATGCACCAATCTTTACAAATCTGGAGACAGCATCTGCCAGTGCATCCCATACCTGATTTCCACATCGGCGCTTTCAGTGTCCATCTGAGGCTTTTATTTAAAGCCTAAGAGTCACCATTCTGGTCTATTTCATGGACAGTTTGACCTGAAGAAGAAAGCAGAGACTATATTCCTCTGCATGTCGCATGATCTGGGAGCAGCAATCTGTGTTAGTCGCAACAGGTACGTGTTTGCCTAGAGAAGAAAACATGTCATTTCCCCCCCTAATGTAGAGTGTGCCCCTATGAATTACATGCAAAGACACAGCAATAGAAAAACTACTGTGATTATGTTGGTAATGTAACCAACCCCATGTTGTAACTCTATGCCTAGGGTGGTTGCTAGTGGAAGATATTATACACAGCCAGGGTAAAAACATCTGTTACTGAGTCCTACAAAGCCATTGCTGTCAAGTCGATCCCGACTCATAGCTGCCCTGTAGGACAGAGAAGAACTGCCCTACAGGGTTTCCAAGCTGTAATTTTTACAGAAGCGGACAGTCACATCTTTCTCCCACAGAGTAGCTAGTGGGTTAGAAATGCTGACCTTTCAGTTAGCAGCCGAGCGCTTTAACCACTGCATCACCAGGGCTCCTTTGTTACTGAGTAGTTGCGTGTAATTGAATATACCATGGACTGCCAGAAGAATGAACAAATCTGTCTTGGAAGAAGTACAGCCAGAATGCTCCTTAAAAGTCAGGATGGCGAGACTTCGTCTCACATACTTTGGACATGTTATCAGGAGGGATCAGTCCCTGGAGAAAGGGCATCATGCCTGGTAAAGTGGAGGGTCAGCAAAAAAGAGGAAGACCTTCAGCGAGATAGACTAAATCAGTGGCTCCAACAATGGGCTCAAGCATAACAACAGTTGTGAGGATGGCACAGGACCAGGCAGTGTTTTGTTGTGTTGTACATAGGTTCAATATGAGTCGGAACCGAATCGACGTCACCTAACAGCAACAACGACAAAGTTGCATATAAAAGTATAAAGGTTCTAATATGATGAAGAAGCAGGAAAGCTTTGTTACAAACTTTTACAAGAAACTTAAAAAAACCAACTATGTCCTTTGTGGGAGAGAGACTGGAATATGAAGAAGGAAGGAAGGAAGGAAGGAAGTTGGGTTAATTAACTGAAGGCCCAGTCTGAGAGAGAGGACTTGGTTGGGAGAGCAGGGGTTGTGTTAAATTAACACTCTAACTGCTGAGGTTTACTTCTGATCAGTGATGTGCTTGGTTCGGTTTGGTTTTTTCCCTCAGAAGAGCCAAAAAAAAAATGACTTCTCTGGCTCACTTTTCCTTTTGTCATATGCTCAAAATGCATTGTTTCTGTTTAACTTCCTGTTTCCTGATGATGCAAAAGAAAGTCCCCTGATCTAAACGGTAGCTGAAGTATTCTGGGGAGTGTGCTGCCCCAACCGCATCACTCTCAAAGTCTCAATCCCATAGGCCCGTGTAGTTACCTATGACCATATTCTTTGGACAGCCCATAAGTTCCCAAATGCTGCTCTTCATTCTGCACTAGTAGACGGGGGACCTTCTGCATGCCAGGCACTGGGCTAGGTACTGGGGCAACTAAGACATGGTTCTTGCCCCTCTGAGTCGTCTCATGCAAGAGTAGGGAGAGAAACATGTTAATAGTTATTATAGCAGAATATAATGTACCGTGGTTTCAAGGTACCATGAAAGAAACCTTGCTTGGTTATTCCATTTGGCAACCACCTCTCTGTAGTTGAAATAAATCACTACCAGTGGTTGACAGTCTCGTAATAATGATGTGAAGAGATGTTAGAAAGACTGGGAATATTTTGCCTGGCAAGGAAGGAAATCACTTAGTGATAATTTTTAAGCTATGAAGCATTATTATAAACAATAGTAGTAACCACTGTTCTCTATTTCTCACTGTTTGCTGGAAACGGATCAGAAGAAATGGCCTTCAGTAGCAAGAAAAGGGGCGTAATTAAACACAAGCTTGGTAATAACGTTATTCAGCAATGGAAGAGGCCATCTAGGAATTGGTAGAGAACCTTATAAAGAGGAAACTGGCCATCTACCTCTACTAAATGCCTTCGGAGGGGGAGAAGGCTACCCTAGCTGTGAAGGATGTGAGGGCATCATAAGCACAGTAGAGTTAGAAGGAAGAGACCCTGGAAATGTGTCCTTGACTTTGACTTTTTTTGGGTCAGTTCATTAGAAATTCCATTCAGAGCTATTTGTCCCACATACATACACAGGAAAAGGCAGTTATTTCCTGAAAAAGACTTAAACTCACCCTACTGGCTTGGCATATAAACCAATGTTGTCTTCTTATTGTAGGCAAATCACTTGGACGAGGGGCTTTCGGAAAAGTGGTCCAAGCATCTGCATTTGGCATTAAGAAATCACCCACTTGCCGGACGGTGGCTGTAAAAATGCTGAAAGGTATGTATGCTGTAGCTGGCCTTCAACTCACACATCACCTTTTCACATTCCCTAAATGTTTGTCAAATTGGATATGGCCTAGGAACAGACACAGGCTGTTTCTGCTCTAGCCACGTAACTGTCTTCTGCTGCTGAAAGGAAGCCTCTTTGCTTCAGGAGGTTTAGATTAGGTCAGCACAGCTCAGAATAAACCTTGTAAATGGAACAATCTAGCATTGTCTTTGGAGAAATGATCTTTGTCACCTCAAAGGTATTTCTCCTCTCACATCTCAGACTCTAGACTCCCCATGATGTAAGCCTGTTACAACCACAGGTTTGAAATTTTGGGATAATCTACTGTGATGCTGTATTGGGAATTTAGCAGCACGTGGCAAATCTCAAAGTCTTAGCCTGGGCTTGACCTAAATATAAAGTAAAGCTAGAACCATTAAATTGATCAGAACTCTCAACTATTATATACTGTCAAGCTCCAACCATAAAACATTTCCTCTTTAGAAATTATAAAAACCAAATGATCTTTCTAGTGTTGACACTACCACTCTGATGTCTCGTATGTCCTTTAAAGCATAGAAAATTTCCTCATTTGTGATGGCATTTTCATACTATCTCAACTCATTTTAAGGTTCCAAAACCAAAAAGAAATAGGACAAAAAGCCCAAAGGGCAGTTTTTTAGCTCTTCAGAGTCTCCAAGATATGGTCAGGATTCTGAGGTCTGGAAAGCTGTGGGTCCAGCCAAGCAAGTCCTCAGCACAGGCTCCAGGAAAAGGTACTGTTTCCGTAGGAAGACTTCAAAGTTCTTAATCTCCTTCCAGAACTGACACTGTCATTTCAGAAACCCCATGTAATGCTATTTTCCACCTCAAAAGGCTGTCTTGATCAAGGGAAGGCTCTGATAAAACTCTATAAAGAGCTTGACAGTTCTGCTCTGAAAGTAGCCAGGAAAGGAGTTTTCGGTCCACAAGTCAGGACTTTCATTTTGGTGGATTACCCAGATGATGACAGACGTATTTCTGGGAATCCTTTCATTCCAGCACCTTCCCCCTCTGCAACCAAATTCTGAAGAGAAGAGGCATCAACATGTCTTCCGTGTGAGAAAGCACCAGGCTGAGTACTTTAATATATCAGGTTGAACCACATGAAATGGCCATTTTTCTTATTTTCTCTCAACATCCTTGTGAGGTAGAGATTATTATCCCCAGTTTGCAGATGAGGAAACATGGCCCAGAAAAGTTAAATAGTGCCTGCAAGGCCACACAACCCTGAAGCGCAGAAGTAAGGGTTTGATGCAAGTCTTCCAGCTTTGAGTCCAGTGCTGTTTCCACCACACTCCAGTGCCACAAAAGAAGGGGCTGAGAATGGCCTGTTGCTCCAAAGTCCTAAAAATGATCCTGGCCTGCTTTATGGAGGCAATCCAGGATCCAACCTAGAGATACAGTTAGTGCCTCTTCCTTGCTTACTGCCACACACCCTGTCTCTAGGAGCGACAAGTCTGATGGCCATGCTGGTCTACGGTGGGTTGAAGATAACTCTTGTGGCCCGGCCTATACCTGGCACAGTCTGAGTAACAGCCTGGGTTTTCTTTATGGTTAAGGAGCACAAATACTTGGAGGGACTGATGAGTTTGAGGGGAGACTGCAATTGTTTTTTGAAGGCCCAGGGAATCTATTTTATGTTATGAGAAATAACGTGTAATATCTTCATAAATACATATCTTTTTTTTTTTTAAGCCATCAGCATAGATTAAAAAACATTGCCAAATCACCCACTATGTAAAATTCCTAAAAAACCATTTTCTTTCCGCTTTCTTGCTTAAATTGGCTGGCCGTCTGTTTCAGGGAGAGATAGAAAAAGGCAGAAAAGTCAGAATGTCAAACAAAGGTCATGAGTCAGAAGCTCTTTCAAAGGGCCCTGGAGCAACAGCCTTAACCTTTGTTGGCCTTACACCCATGTCTGAAATGAGAAGAGCAATCATGATGTTTATTTATACAACAAATACTTGTTGAACATTTATTGTGAGCCAACCCTGGTCCCCCTGGAAAACTTCTGGCGTTTATCTGATAATTATTAAAAAATTATGTGTGCTTATGAAATACCAGGTCGGTACTTATCACAGTGTTAAATGCACATAACTTTGACCCACTTCCAGGACTGTCTGACAGAAATAACGTGCACATCTGCACAGAGACTAAACACCAGTTGTCTCTTTCAGCGTTATTTCTAACAGCAAAAACTTATATACAATCTAAATGTCAGGGACTCCATTCATCAATTTAAAAGAATGAAAAAAGCCTCATACAGTGAAAAGGGAGAAAGAAACAACTTTTAAAAAATACACATATGTATGTATATAAATACATATATAACATATAAGTACATATATTGTATATATGTTGTATATCACACACACATATGTGACCTCATTTATGTAAACAAACAAAAACAAGTGCCCCTTTGATAGGGTATATATATTCATAAATTCATAGAAAAAGGTCTGAATAACAGTGGTTACCTCTAGCAAGTGAAGTGGAATGAGGTAGCTTTTACTTTGTACTCTCTATACGACATATTGTTGGAATATTTTACAGCAAGATTATATTGGTTATATTACTTTTATAGTTAAAAAATTTCTTTTCTTTTTTTAATAATATTTTATTGCATTTAGGGTGAAAGTGTCCACAGCAGATTAGGTTCCCATTGAACAATTTCTGCACAAATTATTCCGTGATATTGGTTACATTTTTCACAATGTGTCATCATTCTCATTCATTTGGTTCTGGCTGTAGTCTAAAAATAGTTTTAAAATTATAGATGACTTAGAAATTAACCAATAAGAACTAACAGAACAAACTTCAGATTCTGCTAATTCTTGGACTGATGTTGCTTATCTCTGAGAACGAGCTGAAGTCAGATGCCTATGGATCCTCACAACCCGAGATAACCCGCAAACTCCAGGGAGCAAAAGGATATAGGGAGAAGATGATACGCTGGAAAGATGTTTACAGAAGCGGCCACTCGGCCCTGGCAGGCCCCTTGTGCTCCTTCTTTGTGACCCCCCAAAGAGGGGAGAGCGAGAAAGAGAGGGGAGGTTTTGGGCACCCCCTGCCTGGAAGTTCTTGCTGCGCCTGCTTCTGACAGAAGGGAAGCCTCTGGAAGGCGCTTTCATAAGGTGCCCAGCTCTGAGTCAGCACATTGCTGAACAGGACTAGGCCCACTAAGAGGAAATGTCCAGTGACTAACCCCACCACTGCTCTGAGCCTTACTGTAATCAAAAGGATGTTGGCTTAGGAGGGTGGGAGTAATGAAAACAGTCTGGAGACTCGGCCTTTCTGCAGAATGTGGGGAAGTTAACGAAGCTACCGGCTGAGCACTGACAAACAAGGAGGGCAGGAATGCCACCTCCGGCGGAAGGAGCCCCATTGTCCTATTGCCCTGATTCTTCCTTGCTTCTCACACAGAGGGGGCCACGGCCAGCGAGTACAAAGCTCTGATGACAGAGCTCAAGATCTTGACCCACATTGGCCACCATCTGAACGTGGTCAACCTGCTGGGAGCCTGCACCAAGCACGGAGGTAAATGAGAAAGGGCGGCCCGCTCCATCTCCCCATGTGCACGCTGGGAGCAGAGCTCTCTGACGGACAGCTCCGTCTCTTCACCTGTGTTCCTCCTTATTTTCAGGAGAATGGCCTTTCAATAGCTCCAGAGAAATAGTTTGTCCACTAATGGAGAGGTGGTCCCGTTCTAGAAATGCCTTCCCTGTACAGTTTAAAGGTTCTGAAGAGAAAGACATTGTTTCAGACCTCTTTCCACAGACTCTAAACCAAGGGTTGATGGGTCGGGGAGGGGCATTCTTCTCTCAGGATGACTTGAGGGAGTGTGACCGGAACTGAGCCTAGAAGGTTGAGCATTCTTTGCGGTCTCGCCTGAAGTAATGAATCACTACTGGGAGGATCCCAGGGGAGGAGATGTGGGGGACAACAGGAAGAGCCCTTCCCTTCACATCCACCATGCACACAGGCCTTACCTACTGGGGCAAGTGGCAGGGACAGGGATGTGCCTTAGGTTGGAGGGCACCAGCATATTCTTGCAGATCTTTCTTTCCTCCCCTGTAGCCAGCTTAGTGTTTGGCTGAAGCTGTGTGCTTTGCCAAGGACCTGTGCGTACAAATGTTTTCCTAGCTCTCAGTAAAGGTAGCAGGGATGAAGGGTAGTGGGGAAAGCCTACCTGCTAGGAGTGGCAGTGGGGAGAGAGAGAAGCTAAGGGCTGGGGAGGGGGCCAGAAATAGAGCCCTAGGGATCTAGACACAGCCCAGCCTGCTTCTGCATTATTTTTTGAGTATCGACAAATGCAAGCTCTTTCTCAAGTTCTCTGCCTTGGCAACCTCATTCTGTTTGCCTCAGTTTTGCATCTGTAAAACTGACGAGGGCTAATCAGACAACCCACCTCTGTCTGCACCTCTGAGCTCCGTGTAGGGGTGTCCGGATAGAAGCAGACTCCCGAGACTGATGAATCCTCCTCCCTGTGGTAGAGTTACAGGCGACCTCTGGAAGCAACTTCCAGTCTGTAGCCCTGAACGAAGGGGTGTAGTCAGGATTTCTAAAATTTGCCTTAAAATCAGCAAAATCCTGATAGGAACACAAAACCCCTCTCCCGGGAAGGGCGTGACCCCCGATAGCCTCTAAGAAGTAGGGCGCCCAGGCCCTTCAGCACTGGAAACCCATGGCTGGTGCGCCGCAGGGCAGCAGCCTGGTGAAGCAGCTCCGGTCACCCCCATGTGACCCGGAAGTTGTCTTTGTTCTAGTCCCCCTACGGAGCCCTGGGGCGGTGGCAGCGTGGCTCAGTCAGGGCCCCCCAGCGCCCAGCGGCATCGCAGGCGGTGGGACAACTGAGGGGCCGGGCAGGGAAAAGGAGTCCAGGGCACCTCATGGGACCCACAGTGCAGCTGGGACTTCCTCCCAACCCTCTTCCTTCCTTTAGACCAGAGGTCAGCAAACTAGAACCAGCCTGTGAGGTTAGAATGGTTTGACATTTATAAATAGTTGGGGGGGGGGGGCG